TGGAAAGACTCCACCTAATTTAAGCTATGTGACCTCAACTTATAAAAATGGGACTAATAACATTACATTTTTAAGTCTTGAATTGTTTGATACATTTAAAATAATGCTAATTTTACACGCAGTTTTTTGGGTTACTCTCAGAAATTATTTTGACTCTTGAATATGTGGGGATAGGGAAACTGACCACAACATAGTCAAAACTCTGCATATAACTTTGAATTTCTCCAAAATGTAACCAGTTGTTCCCCATTATTATTTGAGGATTTACTTGGATACTAAAGTAATGCATACTTATAAGGGCTCTGAGTCCTTATAGTCTTAGGGTATCCAAAGATTCTGCATCAGCAGAGTCAGTCAACTGACATACATGGTTGGTAGAGTCTTAAATGTAAAACCCACAGGTATAAAAAGCCAGCTGCACAAAATATCAAAATTATAAAGCAATTCAATAATAAGTGGATACACATAGTCAAGGACCAACTTTGCAATAAAATGCAGGCTCTTCTTTGGAAAGTAGTCTAATAATTTTATTAAAAATGCAGTCTATTCATTTTATATAAAGATTAAAGTTTTAATTTTACTTCATTATTATTTCAACCAACATTGTCTTACCGATTGCTTTCGCACACCGGTAGGGCGTTTGCCTTGCACGCAGCCAACATGGCCGACCCGAGTTCGATTCCTCCGCCCCTCTCGGAGAGCCTGGCAAGCTACCGAGAGTATCTCGCCCGCACGGCAGAGCCTGGCAAGCTCCTTGTGACGTATTCGATATGCCAGACACAGTAACAACAAAGTCTTATTACTCCCTTGATATTCAGGGATCTCTCCAGGTAGGACTCAGGATCATATATGGTACTGGGAATCAAACCTGCATCAGCCATGTGCAAGCCAATCGCCTTACCTACTGTACTATCCCTCTAGTCCCTCAAGTTAATTTTTAAACTTTTGATTATGGATGTGGAAGGTAGTACAGTATTTTTTTAATTTTTCCTTTTACATTATCTTAATTTTTCTTTTTCTAGACAGTCACTGAAATCATACTCATGTATTTTTAGTAGAGACATTCATAGGTAGCACATTTCAATTTTGGTTGTTTTTTCTTTTATGTGTGTGTGTGTGTTTGAAACACACGAGGCAGTGCTCAAGGCTCTGTACTCAGGAATCACTCCTGGCAGGATCAGGGGAACATATGGGATACCTGCGGATTTAACTCAGGTCAGCTGCATGCAAGGGAAGCACTGTACTATTTCTCTGGCCTCTACATTTTCAACATTTAAATAACTTTAGGAATCTATATATTCCTTGTGTAAGTCTTCAAGAGTTACTGAACCTCAAAAACAGATTATAATAGTCTATGTTTACACAGACTTTAACCAATTCTTGTATTATTGGTCTGAACTGCTATTTGATCTTAAGTCTTCTAACAAGAAACTTAGGTTTTTTTCTGTGATTCCATAAGAGTTTAATATGTAGTAGACTTTCATAAAAATATTATTGAATTTAGTACTGAATATAGATCCACAAAATATCAGTACTATATTAATAAGGGTTTGATAGTTCATAATGCTGATTTTTTAATAAAAAAAACAAATAAATATGATCCACTTTTATTAGATAAACTATGATAACCCCCAAGAAAATTTTGTAAACAAGTTCCATATAGCAGGCTTGAAGGATTTTCAAATTAACAATGACTTCTCAGCTTTGAGATATTATTTGCATATGTTTTATACATTTAATGTTTACATTTTGATTATTTGATACACATGCATTGCAAAGTGATGAACACAATAAAATTAGCAAGTGCATCACTGAATTTTTTGGTATGTGGTGAAAACATTGAAGATTTTCTGTCTATGTCAGGGAGATATTACTAGGGGTGAGTAAGGTCCTTACCTTGCATGCTAATGACCCCAGTTTGATCCCTAATACTGTATACAGTTCCCAAGCCCGCTAGGTAATATCTGTGAGCAAATAGCCAGATTTAAGCTCTGAAAACAGCAAAGAATGCTTCTAACCCCCTGCCCCAAATAAAATATTTACTTTCTTACCAGTAAATATTTTATTTTACAATCGAATGCCAAACACAGTAACAACAAGTCTCATGATGGAGACGTTACTGGGCCCGCTCGAGCAAATCGATGAACAACGGGAAGACCGTGACCGTGACTGTGATCATTATAAAAGTCTATAATATTGCATTGTTAACTATAGTTGTTATACCAAACATTAGATTCCCAGAATTTATCCATATTTGAATTGGAATTTTGTAAGCAGAACCAACATCTTCTAATACTACTGGCCATAGATCACTTCTGGCCATGTTCAGGGGGCTATATAGCATGCATTCTTTAATAGAAGAAAATTAGAATGTGAGAGTTATTTGTTAAAACATATCTTAATAAGATCAATAATAAAATAATAAGACCTTGAAGTAGAGTGTGTTGAAACAAGACTTTACTTGTTTACATGCAGTGCCTGAGTAAAGTCTTAGTAATAGGAAAAATCATTTATGAAGGTATGTAAGTATAAAGTGACACATTGTTTGGAGTCTCAAATGCTGGAGAATATTTGTTTAAACATGTGTGTGTGTCAGGGTGTGGCATGGGGAGGTTTGTTTATATTTATAGGTATGTTTAGGCGAACTTGGAGATTTAACAAACATATTATTTGACTAGATTTTCACTGTATCACTGTTGTTCCCATGTTCATCGCCTTGCTCAAGAAGGTGCCAGTAACATCTCCATTCATCCCAGTCCTGAGATTTTAGCAGCCTCTCCTTACTTGTTCTTCCCAACGCTGCTGTAATGGAGGCTCTTTCAGAGTCCGGGGAATGAGAGCCACTATTGTTACTGTTTTTGGCATATTGAATATGCCACGGGTAGCTTACCAGGCTCTGCTGTGTGACCAGGTTTTAAGTTGTAAAAATATACTCAGGGAGAAGAGAGATAATTAAATTAGAAAATTATTTAGAAAATCAAAATGCAGTGGTAATATAAATTCAAGATTATGGTGAGAAATTTGGGGGTAGGGTGAAATTCTAGGTCTTCTATTAGAGGAATACATAGAAGAGAACCGGCACTTAAGTAGACAGTGTTACAAATTTCAAATGAAATAGAAAATTTGCACATAAAAAAGACATTGATACTTTCCTATAAGAATGAAATATAAAAATATACTTACAATTAAATTTATTAATAAGTTTCCTTCATTAATGGAAGCATAGCACAGCGGGTAGGGCATTTGCCTTGCATGTGATGCGGCCGACTGGGCCAACCCGGTGTTCCATTCCTCTACCCCTCTCTGATAGCCCGGGAGCTACCGAGAGTATCTTGCCCACACGGCAAAGCCTGGCAAGCTACCCGTGATGTATTTGATATGCCAAAACAGTTTCAACAATTCTTGCAATGGAGACGTTACTGGGTCCGCTCAAGCAAATCGATGAACAACAGCAGGACAGTGCTACAGTGCTAAGTGCACTCTAGATCTATGCTACAAATATTTCTAACTAAAATTTTCCTGTCCTGGACAATTTTAGCTGTTATTTTGTAAATGTACAGAAAATGCTTGATTTTAAAAATTTTGTGTATAAATTTTTAATTGCTATTAATAAAATAGAAGATCAATTCAGTAGAATAAATAAGGTAGCATATATGATGTTACTGTGGAGCTTTGCTCATCTTGCCTATTTTTGCATATTAAATTTAGAAGGAACTTGAAGCTTCCTATAATTCTATACCTGTGTAAATGTTTAAGCTTCCTATAGTTATGCACATATTTTCATATTTTCCAAAAGGGTAGAGAAAGAGGGAATGTGCCTGCCACAGAGGCAGGGAATGGGAAGGGATGGGAGTGGCTGGAGGGATACTGAGAACATTGGTGTTAGAGAATGGACACTGGTGGAGGGATGGGTGCTTAATCATTGTATGACTGAAACTCAATCATGAAAGTTTGTAAGTCTGTAACTGTATTTAACAGTGATTCAATAAAAAAGTCTTTCTCAAAATTGAAAAATATATATTTAATATTTTTATATTTAAATTTAGGTATATAGTTTTCAATATTTGGTGGGAAGGGTGTTTCAGGCCATACCTGGTATTGTTCAGGCTTATGCCTGGCTCTGTGCTTAGGGAACAATATCTAGTGCCAGGGTTTTAGCTGGAGTTGGCCATATGCCAGGGAAGTGCCTTAACCCCCTCTACAGGCCTGTAGTTTTCTTTCTTTCTTTCTTTCTTTCTTTCTTTCTTTCTTTCTTTCTTTCTTTCTTTCTTTCTTTCTTTCCTTCCTTCCTTCCTTCCTTCCTTCCTTCCTTCCTTCCTTCCTTCCCTCTTTCTTTCTTTCTTTCTTTCCTTCCTTTATTCTTTGCTTTTTGGGTCACACCCAGTGATCCTAAGGTTTACTCCTGGCTCTAAACTCAGAAATTACTCCTGGTCGTGCTCAAGGGACCATATGAAATAATGGGGATCAACCCAGGTCAGCCGCATGCAAGGCTTAGCTGCTGCACTATTGCGCCAGCCTCACCCTGTAGTTTTCAATGTTTTGGTGAGCTTGATAAAGTTCTAGAAGGGGTGATAATTATCTATTAAAGCACAGTTAATATATTTTAACTATAGATTTCAATTTTTGGTTAAAATAATGACCATAATTCATTACAATCTTAATATAAGTGGAAGCATATGTCTCCTTTTCAACATAATTATGTTCATATTCTACCCATATTCCACTCATAACTAGATAATTTTGAGTTATTCTATTTTTAATAGTTTTACCTATTTCCATAAATAATTGATATAACTATTATATATCTTCAGTGCTACAAAAATGTGAAAAGAGATAGGTACCTATTTGTCTTGTAGTTGATAAAACAATGATGAATCCAAAGAAGACGGTTATTGAGACATTTTTATGAGAATTGAGTGTTAAATTTACAGGTGTTGCAAAATGAGTCTTTGTATCCACTTGAGACTTGCATCATAAAGTGTGTTGGATGTTTAAAATGTTCAAACAAGCAGTGAAGGGTCTTCTTGGCTGTCCTCTTTTAAGAGTGGATACATTCGCAACACTTTCTTCATGGGAGTGTTGACTTGATCATATGTCCATCCCTTAGTTTTAAACAACTTCTCAAGGATCCATGGCATTTCCAAGCCATGGCTTAAAATGTAATCCTTAAAGGCAATTGTTCCATAAAGGTCTTCAAGAATGTCTGGTATAGGACGTCTGTTCCGCATACGTCGGACCGCTGGTTCAAGCAGGGGTTCATCGTTTACTAATTTTGTCCACAAGTAGGGCTTCAGGTACCATGCTCCATACCTAATCTTCATAGGTATGGGTTTATACGGATCTGGTGGCTGCTTAAGTAATTTCTCCCAGTTTATCTCGTCTACGGAAAATTCTGCCGCCTGCTTCTCATTTAGTGCCTTGTTATACCTTAGCTCTACAGGAACTTTGCCTAGAGTCCTTATGCGAACGGTTTGATAAATAGGTTTGTACTCACGACTGATGTCAAAGAGCTTCATGACATAAGGTTCAGTTACGTTCTCTTCTCCTAAACCAATTGCCCATGCGCAGAAGTCATGAACCACTTTAGGTACATCTAGTGGCTCTTTGATCTCCGAAACCTTCGGACTCTTTTTCTTGGCCTTCTTCTTCTTTCTCTCCTCCACCTCCTCCTCCTCCTCCTCCTCCTCGTCCTCCTCCTCCTCGTCATAGTCCTCCTCCTCCTCCTCGTCATAGTCCTCCTCCTCCTCCTCGTCATCCTCCTCGTCCTCCTCGTCCTCCTCCTCCTCCATTTCACGTGTTTCAGAAATCTTCTTGAGCATTGTCACAAAAATTTCAACAGGATGTCCTCTAGGAAAGGATTTCCTGCGACTTTCTGGCTGTATTAGGGGCTCCATCCAAGGCAACGTTGGCTTCTTCAGTTTCTCATCCAAGTAGGGCCCCTCTATCACTTTTAATAACATCTCTTCCCTTTCCTCTTCTTCCTCTATTTGGGGGTAGATAGTAAAATACTGCTTGGTCACAAGAGTTTCCTCGGAGGGATGCTTGGGGGGGCATACTTTAGTCCTTATCCCCTCTAACACTTTCGGAAGTGATTGACCACTTGGCACGAGACGCAGCTTTGGTTTTTCAGGCAAGACTTTGGGACTCTTTGGGGGAGGAACAGGTTTGAGAACTTTATGAGGAATCCTGGGGAGAAAACTATCCTTAGGGTGACGGATGATTATATTGTCACAAGGTCTACAGCCATTCCTGAAGTCATCCAATCCCTCCTGTACAAATACCCACCGACGACTGTTCAGGGAACTGCGGAGTTTCAGTGGTACTTTCTTGTGCTTCGCCAAACACTTGGAAGGTAGTCTTTCTTTGTACCAAGGGTTACAGTTCATGCCCAGGGGCATAGGTTCCAGCTGCCCAGGCCCAAACAGCCACTTCTTGTCCACCGACATGGTGCCCCAGGCCGGTGGGCCACCAGCAGCTTGGTGGTTTGTTTATATCAGCCTTTTTGGTTGCTAGGAGACCACAGAAGCGGCTGCAGCCAGATTCTTTTGATGAAGAAAGGTGGGCTGATGTAGGTGCCCCTGCATATGTACGTTCTTCTGGGTTTTAAAGGGCTCATTCCTTTAATTGTAGGTTAGTTAGGATTCCATGGTTTAGATACAGTACAGTTTCCTTTTCCCTTTTCACGGGGTTTTTGGATTGTTTCCAGTTTGAGGCCACTGTTACATAAAGTTGCCACACATATTTGTGTTCTCATCTTTTTATGCATATCCAACTTTGCCATGGGTAAACTTTAGCTAGCAGTTGAATGACAGAATCTCATGATTGTGTAATTTTAAAAGAAACTGCCACTTGAAGGAGCACCGTGAGGCAGTTGGGTCACACCTGGCAGCTCTCAGGGTTTACTCCTGGTTCTGCATTCAGGGATCACTCCTGGCTGACTCAGGGCACTATACGTGGTTCTGTGGATCAAACTTGGGTCAGTTGTGTGCATGACAAATGCTCTACTCACTGTCCTATTGGTTCTGCTGGAAGCCACCACATTTTTCAATACATTTTAAATAATACTTAATATTGTGTTAGGTGTGAAAATTGCATTTTCTCCATATACTGCTCAATACATGGGTTAAATAATTTTTAATTTTAGTTATTCAAAATAGTTGTGCAGTTGTATTTTCATTTCCCTAAGAGCAATTTTCATTTTCCCTAACATCTTTTTTTTTGCTATTTAGTGTTTCTTCTTTGGTGAAATAATTCGTTAAGAATTTTTGCTCATTTTAAACTATGTTGGTTAATGTATTGTTGAGCTTTTAGAGTTCCTTATGTATTCAGAATGCAACTCTTTTATCAGATAAATGACCTGCAAATTTTGTCCATGGTTTGTTGTTTCAATACTCTGTCAAAGAACCAAAGTTTAAAAATGTCATGAGGTTGAATTTATCAGTTTCTTTTATGGATTGTGCTTTCTGTCTTACACCTAAGAAATATCTTTTGGGAACTGGAGCAATAGTAAGATCGGTTACTTACTTCCATGTGACTGACCACAGTTTCATGCTTGGCACCCGTTAAGGTCCCCTGAACCCAGTAAGGAATAATCTCAGAGTATCAGAGCCAAGAGTATGTCCCAGGCACCAATGAGTGTGGCCTTAAAATAAAAAACCAAAAAGAAATTCCCAACAGTTTTATGACTATCTTTTTTTTTAAAGAGCTTTCCCCTCAACCAAATTTTCTTTGTAAATTTATAGAAAAACAGTTACCCATATTTCTGGGAATGTTTATCTCAATGGAACATACTTTGATTCCATTTATTTTTTCTTGCCTTTACGCCAATTCTTTTCCGTAGCTTTGTAATAAGTCTTGAAATTAGGCTTCATTAGCTACCTCCATTGCTTTGAAAAATTGCTTTGGCTCTTCTCAGTTCTTTGACTTATTTGAAAATCATATTGTCAGTGTCTACAAAGAAATATGTTGTGTTTTTCTTATTATGTTCTGTTGAATTTACAGATTGGTTCAGGGATAATTTGAATTTTCTCATTATGTAGTCCTTTGATCCCATGATAAATGTACATCTTTTCACTTAAATGTGTGATCTTAAATTTATCTCAGCAATATTTTGTGACTTTCTGTGTATAGGTCATTCTTATTATCTTCCTCCATGTTTTTCCTAACTATTTCATATTTCTGATATAAAGTCCAATTGCTCATTGTTGGTTTATAGAAAAGTAATTGAAAATTTTGGATATTGATGTTGTATTACCCAACCTTGAAAGAGCCTTTAGAATCTGTTGTTAAATATTAAAAGTTCTAGCCCGAATCTTTACCCTAACCCTAACCCGAACACTAATCCTCTCCTAAATCTGATCCTAACTTTAATAGTAATCCTTTCCTTACTCATTAATCAATGTAACCCCAAACCCTATCCATAATTCTCAAAATCCTACCACTAATTTCAACCCTAATCCTAAGTCTACCCCTGCATCTACTTCTAACCCAATAATGTCTCTACCCCTATCATAACCTAATGCTATTCAGCCCCTTCTCCTAAGAATAAAGTAAGATGTAATAGAGAAACAAAGCCTTCCCTGTTATTTAAGTAAATAATGATGCTATGTTACTTTTTTTGTATTTTCAAATAATCCCACATGCTAAAAATAATAAAAATAATAATATAAATAATTAAACCTTGCATGTGCATTATTCCCCCATGAAGCTTTAAATGTGTCAGCTAGGGTAAGGGACACTATAATACTTAATGTTATGCATGGAGTAGATCTCTGCCTTACATAATGAAATAATTTTAAATATAATATTCACCTGGGTTTTTTTTGCTGGATAATGGGTTCAAAAGAGCTACTGTGAGAATAGTTTTTAAATATATTCTGACGTTATCACTTTCTTCCTTGAAAACATTTCTTTCTTCTTACTCTATACACAGTTGTCATTACCTAAGTATGGCAGTGATATATTTCTGCTTTCCAAGCCCTGTTTTCTATTTTCTCTCATGAAATCAAGATACACAGAATAACATACTATGCCCTGAAAAGCCCTGTACCATTTAGTGTATATATATATATATATATATATATATATATATATACTAAATATATACACACACCTCTAAAGTAAATCTGCTTCACTGTTTACTTCACCCTGTTCTCAAAGAGTTGAGTTACTGGTCATTCAGTGGTCCTTCAAATACCACAACCATCTTCTTCCTGAATTCTTTTTGTTATTTCATGAGTTAAAAGAATAATTTCTGTTATCTGCCATTGTGTGATTTTCTAAAATAATATTCCATGAATTCTTCAGGGAAAAGATATTTTATCTTTTCATTGTGTTTTTTTCTCAATACTTAGCACAATGCATTGCATCTAATCAGATCTCAAATTTTTATGAACTCCAAGTGATTTAGTCTTGCTAACTACTGTGCAAATTTTTTTCCCTTAAAATATTAACATAGAACATTCTAAATCAGTCATGGGGAAGTTTAAATTTTCCCTGTAATTATTTTATTAGACCATTAAAAACTTTATTTCATCTTATAATTAGAGGGATCTAATGACATCTACAAAGTTTCCATTTAAAGTTACACTATGACTGCAGCAGTACCTTGGATTATAGTATAAATTTCTTGGATATTATTGCTGAATTAACGGTGACTGTGGAGTGATCAATGCTGTATAATCTATTAACTAATCATATTAAATCATAGTATGATATAGTTGGGCGCTGGAGCGATAGCACAGCGGGTAGGGCGTTCTCCTTACAAGCGGCCAACATGGCCGACCCGAGTTCGATTCCTCCATCCCTCTCGGAGAGCCCGGCAAGCTACCGAGAGTATTCGATATGCCAGACACAGTAACAACAAAGTCTCCAATGGAGACGTTACTGGGCCCGCTCGAGCAAATCGACGATCAACTGGAGGGCATTTACCTTACCTTACCTTATGATATAGTTTCTATGTATAATGGACCCACTGGTTTAAGGCAAAATTATATTTTCTTCCTAGAATCCTCAATCATATTTACTTTTATTTTGGTTAAAGTTGATGCTTAAGTAAAAGTAATTTTTTTCAATAACTGGTTAGCATTAATAAGTATTGATTTGATAATTTAACAGTAAGAAATACAGCTTGAGGAAGGTTATAAGAATTCATAGTTTTTACAGATTTTACTATAGCTATTTGAAAATCTGAAATTGAAAACAAATGGGATTTAGACCTGATGGTAAACAGTGCTTATATTTTCTCTGAGATAGAACAGGATCCATTTTCTTCTTCAATACAAAAGATAATGGACAATTTGGGCATTTTTATGTTCTTGCATAGCCTTTATATGCTTGTTTTCTCCTCTGCACATTTTGTTTCTGTGGTAAGGGATGATTCATTTTATATTTGTTATGCTTCATAATGGTCTTAAAATGGTTTCATATTGTTTATGGTGGTTTGTTTTTTCTAATCATTAGGATATATTGTATTGATGAAGATTTATGACAGGGAACATAAGTACATACATCTACATACGTATGTATGTATATATATTTACTGTGTGTATATGTACTCACATATACTTACACACAAAAAATAAGCAAAAAGATTAGGAATATCCTTAGAGTCTAATACTATTCTAAAACCAGTTTTTTTTTCAATTTCAACCTAAATCTGCACTTGAACAAATTAATCATATGAGATGGAGTGTCCCTTAAAGTTGAGGTCACACATTTTTTCTAACTTAATGCCTTATGACAAAACATTTTGCATTTATATTGCTTTGGTTGCCTTTCTAAAATTGGTTGATTGGTATCAGTGACATCTAATTCATATTTTGAGAATTATTAAAAATGTTATTTGAAAATCAGGTATAGTTGCTAACAGAAGGTATTATATCATCTATAAATTTCAAGCAAGATGATTTGTGGGTTTAGTTAAAACTCATATTTTAATTTAAAATATAGGTTGTTTAAAATATTTTCCAGTTATATGTTTTAGCACAATTGACACAAAATAAATAATCTTGCTCATCATTGTATGTATGTGCATATTTTAACCAAGAGAACCAATAAAACATGAGTTGTGTTTTTCTTTGTGCTCTACATCTGCTCTGAGAGACTTTTATGTTTTTTCTGTCCCCTCATACTTTCTTAAATTTATTTGACTGATACTTTTGACTAGGTGTTACTGTTCTATTATGTTTCCTCTCTTCTAAGTGTGTCATTCATATAGTTGAGATCTTTAGCAAGATAACCTTTCTGAGTATTAATTCAATTATACAATTTTAACCATGGAATGTGGCTCAGTGACAGAGGGCATGCATTGCATATGTGAGGCCCTGGGTTTGACCCCAGCACAGCAAAAGTAAAATACAATGATCATTAAAGCAGACATTTTGTTATTTAACTATTAGTAAATCATATAAATATTCTATGCATCTTAATTTCTTATCAATGTAGT